CGGCCTCCTCCTCTGGGGCGGTGGCCGAGGACAGCAGCGCCCTGGAGGAGCTCGCCACTGAGAAGGAGGCGGAGGAGAGCCACCGGCAGGATAGCGTGAGTCTGCTCACCTTCATCCTGCTGCTCACGCTCACCATCCTCACCATCTGGCTCTTCAAGCACCGCCGGGTGCGCTTCCTGCACGAGACTGGGCTGGCCATGATCTATGGTGAGCGCCCTCTACCCCATCCACCCTGCCCATCACCCCCAAACACGCCGAGGCTGCACTCCGCCTGTGCTGCACGGTTTCCTCCTCACTTGCCAACGTGGTCCCCCCTCCTCCCCCTCCTTCCATTTCCCCCTGCGATGGTGTTGGATCCCAAGGTCAACTGTGCATTTGCTGCCTTTCTAATATCGTTAAAAAAAACAAAAACAACCCCTCCCCCACACCATTCCAACATTTCTTCCCCAGGAATCCAGGAAAACAAAAGGCACCAAGGTGGACCAATTCTGTTCCCTTGTTCTATCTCAGTTATGTCGCCCTTTACCAATCCCCACCCTCCCCCCGCAAGCCCCAGTTCAGCTCAACCGGTGCCTGTTAGGGGCAGAAGGTGAGTGACTTCACAGAGACCACACCATCCCAGGGAGCAAGCCATAGATGGGGGGAGGGCGTGTGGGGGAGGGCTCAGGATTTCTTGGCATGAGCATGAGCTGGCAGGGCCTGTTGAATGCTAAGTCTCTGGTTAGACTGGATGGGTGCCCACTTCTGAGGTTTGGGTTGGATAAAGTCAAAGTTTCAGGTTGATAAAGTCAAGGCCACCTACCGCAGGAGGTCGTCACTCCCACCAAGCCAGGTTCTGTAGGGAGCTATGGCTTCCGGGTAGTTCGTGTAGAAGCTCGCCCTGTGAAGTCCATCCACCAGCTGTGTTTTCAGTTGAGGGTGAAGTACTGTAAAAGGTGAGCATGGTCAGTGGTGCATCACTGGTGTGTCAGGCCCGACTGGGGAGATGGGCACACCTTTTGAGCTTTTATTTCTTTGACCCAGTGGTAAATTATACCCCGTGAATTGCCTTCTCCCAGAAAAGAGGGGCTTTGATCTTCTTCAGATGGCACCATGGACCAGACCCAGACGATAACATTTCTGAGTTTATGGAGAGGAAAAGTCGTAGTGTTAATTCTGGAGTCAGCTGCCTTTTCATGATATAACGGCACCGCGTCAGTACAAATAACCCATTATCACATGGATGTCAGTTAGCCAGAGTCTGAGGTATGGCATCACAAACCCCGCCCCATACACCACTCAAATACTCTTTCATTCACTGAAGAGAAAGCCTGGGTTGATAGCCTCATGTAAGGGAGATAACTGTTCCCAGTAGGGAACATTTGACATCATCACCTGTACTGGAGGGATCTCTCCACTCACTTTCCATCCAGGGTTCCCCGAGAGTGAACCGAAAGCAGATGCTTTAGTCTTTAATGTGAAAATTACCTGCTTATGGTCCTTGGTTGGTTGTTGGTAGCTGAGCTCTCAACCACCAGACCTTCCCAGACAAACTGAGTATGAGACAAGGTCACACAGAGCTGGAGGGAGCTCTCACTTTTGAAGTGGCAGTGGCCTATGCCCATCTGAAAACAGGGCCAGGGGTAAAGCTGAGGTGGGTGATTCCAAATGACAACTGGCTCTCCTTGAGCCCTGTGGTCAGTTATTAACAAATAACTGTTGCCAGAGCTGCAGCGAAGCTGGGAGGCTTCCTGAACCGATAGCGGGCTGGAGAATGGAGACTCTGCTTTCTTTTCAGGTGATTGCGCCATAATGCAAATGAAGATGACCTTTACAGGTATACAGAGAGGCTTCAAACAGTTCATGGAGACAATCCCATGCTCTTTTTATTTCATTTTCCCTTGCATTTTTGAAGTGTGTGGGTATTAACTAATGGCCTCACACATGACAGCAATTGTGAGGATGGTGCAGGACCTGGTGGTGTTTCATTTTATTGTGCAGAGAGTTGCGACCAACTCGATGCTAACAACAAGAAGGATGTGAGTACAATGCAGTCTATTTCCCTTCTCATACTAAATGAGTAAAGAAATCAAATTCCTGTTTAAGTCAATTCTGTTCTACTCACATGCAGTATTATTATATCACATTATCCAGTGCTACCCTGTTTCCCCCTAAATAAGACATCCCCTGAAAATAAGACCTAGCGCGTCTTTGGGAGCAAAAGTTAATATAAGATACTGTCTTATTTTCGTGGAAACAGGGTAGGTGTAGTGGTTACTTGTTGGGCTTCTAACTGAAAGGTCAGCAGTTCGAACCCACCAGCCACTCCTCAGGAGAAAGATGGGGCTTTCTACTTCTGTAAAGAGTTACAGTCCTGGAAACCCACAGGGGCAGTTCTGCCCTGTCGCTATGGGTTGCTATGAGTCAGCATCGGCTTGATGACAGTTACTTTATTTCTTGTGAGCCCTGACTCAAACCTTGGTATTTTCAATTGCCTCATGTGCATGTGAAAGTTGGACACTGAATAAGAAAGACCAAAGAAGAATCGATGCATTTGAATTATGGTGCTGGCAAAGAATATTGAAAGTATCAGGGACTGCCAGAACAAACAAATCTGTCTTGGAAGAAGTACAGCCAGAATGCTCCTTAGAGGCGAAGATGGCGAGGCTTCTCAAATATTTTGGATATGTTATCAAGAGAGACCAGGTCCTAGAGAAGGATATCATGCTTGGTAAAGTGGAAGGATAGGAAGACCCTTGAGGAGATGGATTGATACTGTAGCTTCAACAATGGCCTCAAACCTAACAACTATTTTGACAATGGCGCAGGAGCAGGCAGTGTTGTGTTCTGGTGTACGTAGGGTCGCTGTGAGTCAGAACCAACTTGACCTAACAAAAAACAAAGGTCAGCCCTTAAAAGTGAAAGTCCACCAAACTGCCAGGTTTGCTCAAGATTTCAGAAGCTAGCTTGAAGGCCTCCATGTCCCTCTCCCTTCTGACCTGCTGGTTCCCACTATTCCCACTTACGAGAATTGCCTTGAACTCTACGAAGTGCTATGCTATGCTTTTTTTGTTACAGCAAAAAGATTTTTTTTCGCTATATGAAAAGATGCATAGGTTAATGTCTGGAAGGGGTCCCAAAGTGGAGCCTCCATGTTCCAGAAAGGTACTAGGTACCCTCCCACATACATTGATGTCTCTCCCTAAAAAACGTGGAGCTTCTGTGTCTGGAGTCTCTACTGGAACCTCATTATGTTGGCATGTCATTCCCCTGCTCTTCGCTAATGTCATCCAGTGGGGTGTTCCTGGTATGATAATACCCACCTGAATAATTTGTTGGTATAACCTGTTAGGTAGGTGTGGTCTAAAGTTTTTTTTTTTATCAAAGCCACTTCAATCATTGGGGAAATTATAAAGTTTTAGGGATTCTCTCTCTGGCACTGAGGATTGAGACAAAATTATTTGGGTAATATTATTTATAAACTAAAAGGGTACATGGAGGTGGTGACAGATATCTAACTTCACAAGGTGGGAAGAGAATTATGGTCAACATCTACAGGCCAAGGCTGATTACCATGAGGGAAATCAACCATACTTCCACCCACCAACCTTTTTGCCAATTCTGACACCAGCCATCCTTCCTACAGTATTCTACTTCTCTGGTACTCTACTTCTCTGCTGGATTCAATTATTCATTGTGGTGGCTACACAGAACTCACAGATTTTACTCATAAAGGTTTAGTAAGAAAGTAACAGGTTAAAATTCAGGATCAGGAACGACTCAGGATACAGTTCTAATCCATGCCTGTAGGCAGGCCTCTCTCTGGCTCTTATCCCCATAGCCTGGCCTCCTCTCTTTTGGGGCAAATATTACAAAGCTCTTTAGCTCTGCCAATAAGTATCTGAGGGTACCTTACTTTGCCAGGAAGTCTCAGCCCAAAGGTGCTCGGCTCTCTTACGATATTTGTCGGCAAGCCTAACTCCTCTGACACGGGCCCTGAGGGATTCCCCTCTTCCAGGAAGCCTCTCGTTCAAAGGTGCTCGGCTCTGTTGTTCTGTGCTTAGGCACATGCACTATACACACCTTGATTTGTGGGCTGGGAAACCTACTGCACCATCTTACACCAGTCTCCTGTTTCTACTGCAGTGTCTCTACCACTGCTTCTCACCCTTTTGTGTCATCTCTGGTATTATAGTTCATTCTCATTATGTCCTGGGGCCAGGAGGTTCTCAGTAGAGGTAACTTGAGTCCAGAGGCTGAGTTCTACTCCCCATTCCTCTTTTTCACCAAAAAGGTGAAGTCCCATCTTGTTCTAGGATTGGCTCTCTTTTAAGCTTAGTGGGATGGCAAAACTGACCAACCCCCCTCATTAGGATTTACACACCTTATTTACATGGTCTCACCATCATAGGAGTTCCGCACATCGGAAGTTCTGTGCACCTGATTGGCATTTTTATCAAGCTGTCTAATCCCTGAGGTCGGTTACAAATACCAATTTTCATAGTCCTACCCACTCATTTTGTGAGAGTCAGAGAGAATACGACTAAATGAATCTCAGTAAATAATTCACTTTGCCACACATTAAAGTACAATGTGAAATGCCTTCAGGAAGTATATTTGACACTCAGAACTCTATGTGGCAAGTGTATGGAAAACAGACGGTACTGACAAATGTGGTTTTGGATAAGTAAGGCACCCTGGCGGCATCGTGGTTTATCGTGGGTAGGTGGGAACCTACCACGTACTCTGTGAGAGAAAGATAAGGCTGTCTGCTATGATCGGGATCTACCGTCTTGCAATCCCACAGGAGCTGTTCCCCTCTGTCCTATACGGTTGCTATGCAATTGACTTGGTGGCAGTGTTTTGTTTCGTTTTGTCGCTGTTGTTTTTGATGAGTACTCCGTGTTCTTAATTGTTTGATCGCTTTTATCTTAAAGCTTAAAAACAATAGAATGATTTTCCTTCACTGACATCTACTTTGTAAAGTCACTTCAGTCATTTAGTCAGTGGAGTCACGATACAGAGTGCTCTTTCATGTTTTGAACAATCAGGTTACTGAAATCTGACTTAATTGCCGACTGGTCAGGAAACTGCATACCCTCATAGCATTTCTGGTTGTGATTTTTGTTTTATGTCTTTGGGTTTTAGTGTTGTTTTAAATGCATTTAGATTTTAGTTTGCTGAGCTGATGCCAGGGGCTTAAGTGGAGAGGAAATGTTTTGAGAATG